TACCCTCCATGGACTACAAGGAAGAGGTTGATCGTTAACAAAAACTGTCACCTCGTGTTCTCCAACACGATTGGGTGTGTATCTGACCCTATATGTCCCAGGTGACATCCAGTTGTCAATCATGGTGGCGAGGTCCCCTTCCACTGGACTCCGAACTGTTACTTTGATCTCATCAATTTTATGGTAACACTGTTTCCCATTTGAATCAATTGTTTTGATATCAAAGATCTTTGTACATCCAGCCTCAGCTATTACTGAGTCATAACCTTTCACATATGATCTTAGTGGATCAGTTTTACTAACGAATACTTTACCTGGATCTGTACTTGTCAAATTCTGAACGTAATTCGTATCTTTAAGGTAGAAAACGTGGCAAGGCTTAAAAACGTCCATTTTTGTTGCTCTTAGAACACCTTTAAACCTTTCAATTTTCGCCTGTTGCGATTTTAGGGTCTCGATGGTGGTGTCTCCTCGTAACATTTCCTCGCAATTTCTCACAGAGATTTTTAATTCGTCTACAGATGTTTCGAAGCTTTCTACTTGTCTAGAATATTCTCTTTGTTGTGCTTCTTCTATAACATCCAACTTGGTCACCATGGACCTCTCGTGCTCTCTTAAAACATGAATGAGTTCTTCAACGATTGTTCGCACACTATTCCGAGCCGCAGAGATTTTTTCTTTGCTTATTGCAAGTGTTTTTGTTGTTTCCGTAATTTGTGTCTCAAGCTCAGAAATTTGCATTTTCATTTGTTTTACAGTCTCTTCCATTTTCAGTTTCTCTTCCTCGGTAGCCTGTTGGATATTCACTTTGGTGTGCTGAGTATGACGAGTTTTACCGCACCTATCGCAAATGGAAACTTTACAGTACTTGCAAAAGTGATCCAGAGGTTCAGTCTCGTGGCCTTTCTCTGTACACATCAATGAGTTCTCCAACAGTTCTTTCGACGCGATGGACTCGCCTGGCGAGAACGCAAATGAAAAATTTAAGTGAGCGAGAACTTCTTCCTCTTCTTCTTTAGGAACATTAACGTACTGAGTTACGTTTTATAGGTGGATAAGTAAAGCGTAAAAACGCGTTCAGTGGCGACTCCAATTTGCAAACTTTTAGAACAAACGTAAACTCTCTCTCTCACTGACATTGTGAGCTGAACATATAGAAGTACATTACTGAACGTTTAAAATGTTCAGTCATACGATCTGCTCTTATCTCATTGAGCTTTTAAGATGTAGTCTTTCTTTTTTTTTGTCAGATAAAGTGGACGACTGAGATATGTTTGCTTTAAAAGAGCAAAAAACAACGCAAAGAAAATTCCAACTTAAGTTATACTTACTTTCCATTTTAGGTTCCTTATTTGAAGATTTTAAATCATCCAGCCTTTTTATGACATTTTTAATTCCGGTACCAAGTTCACACAGCTGGTCCTTGACGTTATATTCATCTTTCTTCCACTGGCTGAGAAGTTCTTTGTAATGATCTTCAGATTCAGGGTCCATGCACTCAGTTTCAAGATTATCAATGGCTGATTTGTACTTTACACCTCCAAGTCTTACCAGAGTGTCTCGGATGTCGCTCCAGCATGTGCTGAATGTCGCATCTTCGACTGAAGCGCACTCAGCATGACCGGACGCGGACGATATCAGCTTCACGGCTTAAGTCAGTAACAGCAGGTAGCGTATCCCAACCTGTTGCAGGAGAATGTAGGCTGCATACGTTTCGCAGCAGAATCATTAAAAGTGTGATGTCGAAATGGGCCGATGAAACTGAAGTAGGAATGGCTGGAAAGAGCTTTCCCCATTGTGTCGCGTTTATTACCTTTCTTTTTCTTAGAGACTGTAAGGTGATTTTTTTGGCCGTCAAAATTGTGATGAGATTGGCTGGCGGATGGATGGCATCAAATGTGTCTCTAAGAGCCTGGGTACCAACATCAACCAGCAGACGACACAAGCGAGCGTAGTTCGTTGTCTCCTTTGTGGATGAAACTGTTGGAGCTGCACAAGCCATTGAATATCTAAGGCAGAAAATACTGTTTCAGCTTAAACGTATTTCCAATGAGAATGGCGCCTAAAAGTCTCCCGATGAAAACCATAGTCACTAAAGTTTTTTTCACTTTAAAACATGCATGTTTTCAAAAGAATTCAAATAGTTCACTCGAATCCTCAGGAAAAAGAGTTGGGTAATAAAGTCTTCGTTGCTGGAAACTGGCACAGCAAGGTTAAATCTTAGCCAAATTTAAAATTTGAAATTGCCGGGAAATTGTCTTCATTGCACACTTATCCTGAGGAGCTATTTGTTTTGACGGAGTAGTTTTGTTGTACCGTGATAGCTGAGAACATTAACAGTTAAACTTTCTCTCATGTGATGAAGTTCTTGCAGTTTCTTGGCCAAACATTCCGCCAAAATTATCAATCTAGAGCTCAAATAGCATATCTTTCGGTATATTTTGCTGAATGGAAGCTAAAAATGCCGAAGAGAATGATCACTGCAATGTATTTGGACGGAAACTGGTACCGGGTGGAAACTAAAAAAAAGAACATTGATAAATGTTTTAAAATATCTAAAAGAACTGTCTGTTTATCGGTACCGGCCTCTTGTACAAGATCGTTTGATTTTTTGCGTCAAAGTCCTTTGAATAATAGGGGGTATTGGAAACCTGAGATTTAATTCGTGGTAAAATGGGGGTTCGTACTTCAGTTAGTGTCCGCCTCATGCAGGGCACCTGTTCAACATAAGGTCTGCCTAATATTCTCAGTCTACCCCAGCCAAAATCTCCATAACTTACTGAGGTGTGAAACCGAAAGAACGGTAATTTAACATACTTTGATTAGCCAGAGAGATAAATCAATCAATTAAAGAGTCAGTTGTCTATGGAATATGGTCAGACAGTAAAATAAAGACCTATTAAACGTTATGCCACCGCCGGATTGCATGTTTAACAGCTAAAATTTCATCGGATTCGGGGAAAAAAAATCATGAAGTCCTGTAAACAAAATCAGTCCCAATATAATTCGATTGTGCCGACTTGTTGGACTACTGATGTGGTTGTATGAACTCTGTAATTTTCGATTATCGAACATAAAAACCTCGCTACCTTTTATAGAACGGAAACTTATGAGTTTTACTTGCGGTTTGTTATATTATGGTTTGAATACGCTGATGACAATGTATTTTGTAACTGAATTGTTATTGGACATTAGGGACATCGTTCACCATGGAGGCGTCTTGGTTGAGTGCAAAGGCGGAATTCATGCGTATCTGTGTGAAAATCTGATGTAGTCGAAGCTTTAGGGGTAATTGAGACGTTATTGGGTTAAACAAACTCAAAATATCTGTATTTGACAGACTACACCGTCTTCTTCGCTCCCAGATTTTGGGGCTTAATTTGTTTCTACCCCTCTTTCCTTAAACCTAGTCATATTTGATTCAACTCGGATGGAAATATAGATAACAGCATAATATGTGACTAACACAGTCTATAAACTGTACGATTTTACGGCACTATCTGCGTCGGTATATCAGTCATAATAAATTTGTATAGAATAAAATTATTTTAACGGTGTAAAATTTACAGTTTATACCGTATTTTATGCGCTGTAAGCCGAGCCCGGCTTATATCATCGCCTGGAATAAATTAAACCATAAACGTTATTTCTTCCAGTCGGTGATATATACTGAAAGATTTTACGCGGTTAACTAACGGCGTAATTTCTTCCAGTCGGTAATATTTATACTGTACATGCAGGATTTTACGCCGTTAACTAACGGCGTAATTTCATTGAAAAGAAACGAAAATTTGCGCACGAGACCGAAGGTTTGATATAAAACTATTAGGCCTAGTTCAAACGTCGATCTTTACATGTACCGAACCTAACGTTTCTATTAAGTACATGTAAAGATCGACGTTTGAATCAATTAGGATCGGCAGATTTGTATTCGGATCGACAGTGCCGTTCTATCCGACTCGGCTAGTCGGATAGAACGGTAAAAGATCGGCATTGATTCATACGTCGTACTTTACATGTACCGAACTTAATGCATACATTATACATACGTTAAAATAATTATGTTTTACCCACAATTCAAGAAAGTTCGCTTAAGTGCCATGCGCGAAAGCCTTCGAACCATTCAAACAATATGGCGGGAAAGGAGGAAGGCTCGTGCTCCTCTTGTTTTAAATTGATAATTGTTGCAAACATTTTCCCACCAGCCAGAATTTCTTTTCAGTCGACGACACGAACGAACTGGACGAGGAACTGTGGTGTTCCTTTGGGAAATAAGCAATAATAGAAGGCAAGCCAAATTCAAAACTCGTCTTCTCCTGGCAGCAAGGTTGTTTAATGCTAACTGCATCTTGAGTCGCCTTTTTCTACCCTCCTTAATCGCATTTGCAAGAAAAACAAGCCCTTCATTTCCACAAGTTGTGCTTCCCGCATTTTTTTCCGCCATTTTGGTAGGCATTAACCCCTGACTACAATGGAGTTATGTTCAGTTTTGCAATTAGGATCGACTAAATTCGGATCGACGTTTGAATCAACTGCCGCTCTTAATTATTCGAGTCGACCCAAATTGCAATTAGGTTCGGTACATGTAAAGATCGACGTTTGAACTAGGCCTTACAGTGGGTTTCTGCTTCGTTGCTTTTGACAAAAGGCCTGGAGATGGCCCTTCTTTTACGCAGGCTTCTCACGGCAAAATAAGGGGGGGTGTCGTTGCAGACCGAGTGCAAAATACGAACTGAGGATAAAATGTAGAACGAAGACTGCAAACCAGGGTTAAAGTGTAGACTCGATTCTAAAACAACTCGCTTTCCCGGAAAAACTTCAAGAGTGAGCTGGGATCGAGGCCGCGTAAGTCGTGAGAGGCTGG